GGAAAGGGCTCACGCTTAAGTTCAGCCCTAATGAATATTTGGGCACTGTCTAGCTGTCTTTCCGTCGAAAGCGTACTAGGGAAAGATTTTAGTCAACTTCCCTTATACGGCCCTGTTTCTTTAACGATGCTAAAGTTGGCTGTCGCTGACATTCGCTACATTAATCTGCGATCTGTTAACTCGATATGCTTATTAATATTGACCAAATATTTCACCACAGTGATTCTAATATTCAATCAGTTTGGGTCTTACTTTCGAATTTCATGAGATTCATAATTCTTTGCACCCAAGCAATCAGCAGCTATCACTGAGTCTAAATTTGGAAAACTATGTACGCTGTGAAATGTAATTCTTCGCTTTCGCTTTGACAAGAGTTAATCGACTGCAGATTTCGAAGTCTGCCCGCCAAAATGATGTTTAACATTTCTTTTTGAAATTGTTCCAGCCACACTAACAAAGCGGTGAGATCTGGGGGAAATTTGATTTCGTTCTCCATTTCAATTCATTTCAAGTCAAGCCGAGAAGTGAATTATGAAATAAATCAACATTTATTGATTCATACTTCTTTATTTTGGGAAGGACGCTTCGCCGATTTTGATTGTAATGCGATACAGTTTCAAAACTGCAAAAAAGCATCAAATTGAACTCTTCATAGGTACTTAAAAACTGATAGATTTCTTTGTAAGCAGGCGATCTGCACTGAAAACGAGCGTTTCAAACAATGTTAAATCAAAGTAGAGCTGAACAGACAATGCTTGAATGGTTTTTATTTAGACGNCCCCCCCGGGGGGGCAACAAAGCAACCGTTCGTTCTCTAACTTTCTTGAAAAAGCTGTATGTTGACTTTGAAAACGAACTTAAGAACCAACAAAGTATCAATTCTGGCGACGACATCGGAGGCATTTCGTGGACTTTTATAGACTTTGGCTTTTGGGTCGGTTTATAAACCGTTATTTTGGGAAGGACGCTTCTCCGATTTTGGTTGTAATGGAGAAACAGTTTCAAAACCACATAAATAAGTTAATCTCATAAGTATCAAATTCATTCTTCATAGGCGCTTAAAAAACCGATAGATTTCTCTGTAAGCAGAAGATCTGCACTTTCTAGACAAAGCTGTATAATGACTTTGAAAATGAACTTTAGAACCAACAAAGTATCTGTTTAACAAAGTCTCTGTTCTTTGCTCATTTATTTTTGGCCGATTGTTTGATTAACCCCCCCCACCGGGGCAACGAAACAACCGTTAGTTTCGTAACTTTCTTGAAAAAGCTGTGTATTGACTTTGAAAACGAAATTTAGAACCAACAAGCACGTGATAGCCAAGCTACATGTAACCCTCACCCCCCAGCCCCTGCCAATTCTTTTCTTTTTAACCTTCTTCGCTGATATTCTTTAATCAAAATCAATATTGTTCAAGTCTAAAATGAAAAGCTCTGAAGTTGATATTTCCCTCAAAGGGGAATTGCATGCATACCCAGAAACTTTAGAAAACTTGGAGCAATTTTAGATTTGTTTTCCTCGATTTCGTGCGGCTGTATGACCCTTTTGTGGTACTTTTCTGCCTCAAAATGGACTTGCTGAGTGAGGTTTGATAGGTTTGAAAACAACGATAAGAATCAAACCGCTTGCCTCGGTAAAAATTTTGAACTTGTTTATTTATTTATTTCAAGTTCTCGTAAGAAGATATGCGTTAAAATATTGGTTCTGTAAAAAACTTAGTCTAGATGGAGGGTTTACATTTGTTAGATTTGGTGGCTTACATTTGTATACATACAGACGCTTTCTAGCTGGATAAAAAGCTCATCAGAATTCACTCAGCTTCCTTTATAAATTGAAGATTTTTCTTTACGTTTTCAGTAATTGAAACTTAGCTACGATGAACAACCAAACTAGTACTCTGTTTAATTTTGTTTTCTGTGAGTTTCGAAGAATGTGTGATTAATGTGAAATTGGAGTTCCTTAGCGACTAGTGCAAGTCTCGCGGCAATTTCGATTCCTTGGATATTCTGGTATAACGTTACTTTCAGTTTTTATTTTCATCTTACAATTACTTTTTATGTAGCTATATGTGACTTTCCACTCTCTTTGTGAAGCTCGATTTGAGCAACAATTAATAAAGTGACAAGTGTGCGGAAAATTTCCATGTTAGAATCTATAAAGTATAGTCTTTATCCATGGCTGAGAGAAGTTTGAGCAACCTTCGGAGCAGCGATATAGAGCTTTTCACGGTTTCTGACGCCATCTTGCTTGGGGAGGGGTGCAAACACGGCAAATATTACAGTAAATGTATGGGACAAGTGTAAAGCTCCATGCCCAATAATATGAGAGTGATTGATGCTCTAAAGATCAGTTATAAGTTACAACGAAAACATACCCAGCAGAGGGTTGTTTTGATTAAATTTGAAGAATATAGATTTGCTGTGAGGCGAGGAATTGCACTTTTAATTTTTTATGCAAATGTCTCTAAATTTCGCCACGAATTAACGACTCGGTTTTTACCGGCAAATGTATGGTAAGATGAAGACCTCGGCTTTTCTAGCGAGGTTACTTCCCTCAAATTGGATCATTGCATATGCATTCTTTTACCTGATTGTTTTAGGTCCGGTTCATACGTCGCATTTCTGCCGTGTCGAATTCAATTCAACGAATTAAATTCGACAGAAATTCGACGTCTGAATCGGCTGCCGCATTTCTGCCGCACGTTCGACTGGTCTTGTCGCATTTTCCGACAGAAATGCGACACCGATTCAGACGTCGAATTTCTGCCGTGTTGAATCTAATGCATACATTATGTTAATGCATGAGCATGCGTAAATGTTTTCCCGCCAAAGAAAATGAAGAAACTTGGCCATTCTCGACCCGATGCAACCTGAACATATTGCAACACATACTGTTCCGTTGTCAGCCTTCTCCTTCTCGTTCCATTGGCGAACAATTTTGCGCAAAATTAAAGTCCTTCGTCGCTCAGTATTTTCGTCCGCTATATTGAATACTCTACGTTTAAAACATTTTCCACTGGCCGACATAAATTCTGAATTAAGTGCGACACAAGTGCGACGTATGAATCCACAGTCGCATTTATGCCGCACTTAATTGAATTGAATTCGACAGGGCAGAAATGCGACGTAATAACTGGGCCTAAGATACCTTTAGTTTTTAATTCGTAAATATTTCAGATTTCGAATTTTCCGTGAGTTGTTAGATATTAGATTCTCCACTTTTTCCCATACATTCCCATCCCAGAAACCCTAAAAAGGACTTTCTAATGAGTCGCGTTCTGTTGCAAAACAATAGAGAGCTTAAGCCATAACAAAGGCAACTTCGAAGTCCATGCCAAGTCCGAAAAAGATTGTCATGTTTTTACCTTCCAATATCGAATTTGCCTAGATCTGTCTACGTTATTTATTTTTGCGTTGTCACCGTCATTCACACTGTTGACAAATTATGTAGTAATTGATTTATTTCATTAGTAAATCATAATGTCAAGTGAAGTATACTTAGGCATCTGTCCTGAACTCTTTGCAGATTGGTTATCGGCTGCTGTGGAAAACATTTATCCCGAAACAAGGAACAGAGGAATGGCTAGGACCACGGTGAGTTGCCGTTTTCAATAACCGTAACTAATCTGAATCATTTGAAATGTGGAAGGCCAGTCAGTACATCACCATTTTTGTTACCTCGTAAGGTACTTCTCACACCTCACTGAGGGCACTTAAATGGAGTTAGGGAACTTTTGTTAGGTTGCGTGGCACAAGGAAAAAGTGGGCACCTTAAAACGTGAGCTCTCAAGGTGGAGTGTTTTGGAACTGGTTCCTGTCATTTTAGAAAGGAGTCTAATGTTTCATGCATAAAAAAATAGTTAAAGAATAAGTTCTATTTCTCAATAGTATTGGTGGCTACCTTTTTCCTAAAATCTGACCCCCTGTGTTAGCTTTTCGTGAACGGAACCTCCTTATTTCTACACGTTGTTGATGAATTAAAAAAAATTAATCCCACAAAATCTATCTTTACTGCGAGGAAACTCTATACCTCGCAGAAATTAAGGGCTTTACTTTGAGACTGTGCGTTAGGCACACAGAAACGTCAAAATGTCGGATACATTTCATATACGACTTTGCTCTATCTTTTGCTTGCTCAACGAAATGGTATTTAGAAGTGAAAGGGTAATTGAGTGAACCTACTTGACTAGCTTTTGTTAGTCGTCAATCTATCCCTTTATCACAAACAAAATTGGCGCTTACCCAGAAGAAATGTGTCCACACTAATCCGTCACGAAAACGGTGCTTTTCAAAAACGCTCTTCAAACCAGAAACTTTGAAAACCAGGCGCCTTCTTTGCGCTTTAGCGTGAACGAAAACCGTTTTAAAAATGTATTTTTTTCAAAAACAATGACGTCTTGATAATCATGTGACTAACCGCAACCCTGAGGGGTGCACTCAAGCTTTTCTGCAATTTCATGCGTTTTCGGTGTGAAAACGCCGTTTTTATATTTCTCCGGTGTAGTGTGGACAGGGACTTAAAGTTGCTTTTCACCTTAATTTATTTTAGTTTCCAAGATCATCGGGATCTGGGCCTGAAGCAAGTAAGTTCCACGACACACTACATTTAACATCTGATAAATTGTATTCTTTCCTTCCACGCTGCTCTTCACAATGAAAACAAACATGAAGCAAGAGCAGAGCAGATATAAAAACAAGCACAG